CCTTGGGTAGATTGGTCAGGTTGCTGGAGTTTTTGGAGGTATCTTATGCCCCCAGTATTGCTTACGGGATTAACTCCTTGCTCAATTATAGCTTATTTTTTCTTAGTAATTTTTAGCAATTTACGTACCCTAAAACAATAAAACTTCCTCTTATTCCATCCCCTTTCAAGAAAAAATTCTAATCCCGCACTCCCCAACAATATCAAAATTATTATAAACAATGTTTGTAAATTACTCCCAATCCTGAGCGGCACCGCACTTTGGTACGACTCTGATTTAAATTTATCCATTTCTAATATATTTCTTGTACTATTCTTAAACTTATTCTTCTCGTTGAGCTTCGAGTATTCCAACACTTTCGAATAAATTCCCGCCTCCACAATCCTTTCAAACCGAATTGGCACCTGGGAACCCCAGTCGGCTTGAAATTGTAAAAATACCGGAACCGGAAGCAAGGCTTCTTTCCCCTTGTAGAACGACAACAGTGGATAATTTCCTTTCAAGTGTGCTAAATATGAATCAAGTTCTAATTGTGTGTCCCAAAATACTGATTTTGCACAATTTGTAAGTTCCCGCTCCGTTTCGAAGAATAATTTTTCATGCGTGATATCTCTCTCGATTCCCCAGTTGAGCAAAGATTTAGGAAACCAGACATGTTTCGGGTTCAGAAACCAATAAATTGGGTGTAGATAAGGCAACTTTTCAATTTCGGTCCATTCAATTCCAAAAGCATCGCGTATAGCCCGTGAGAATTTATAGCTTTTATCGTACAACACTAACGATGAATAAGGATCGGTAAAGGTGGACAAGGAAGTGAAACAGTGGTCCTTACTTTGTCCAATTTCTACCAAATCTTGCGGCAGGGATGTATTTTCGACGTAATAATTCATTATGCCAACGCTTATCTTGCCCCGCAGCTTGGCCCGCTCAAATCCCATTTGCCACGTGATGTTAGAAATCGGTTCACAGTATAGGTCGGACGCTACGCTGTACATTTTCTCGGCCAGCGGGGAATTCAAGTGTTCGATTAGTAACCCGGTGTACGCGCTGCAGAGGACGGTGCACATTACCAACCAGGGTATTATGATACATCTAATGAAGCATTGGTCTGAAACTTTTGAACTGAAGACAGGCGCTTCGTCTAATAGTGAGCCTAATACGAGTAGTAAGATACTATTTGTCTTAGTGCGGATGTAATACACAATGTACACGTGTAGAATGGTTGTAATGGCGATGATGCTAAAACCTATCGCGATCCAGGACAAAAGATCGAACGGCATGTAATAAATGTCGAATTCGAGGGCGATAGTTTTGTAACAGGTTATGAAATTGTACGAAACAGAATCGATCATTATTCCATTCGGAGTGTATTGCGACAGGCCAGAGTGCATTGTTGAAAGTAACTCGTTTGTTACAGAATTAAGCAAACCTGCTTGCTGCCAGCTGATAGGTTGTCGAAAATTGTCAGAAACGTTTATTTTTTCGGTGATAAACAACTCTAAAAAGTACTTGTTGACGTTGACAACGTCGCGAAATGGATTTTTTGTTTTAACACTTAATTGATCACCTATCGTAACGAATGAAGGAGTGTAATCGTCATGTTCATAAACCTCCCATTTGGAATATGCAACCGGGTTATGGAAGAATATGGTTTGAGCGGGTTTCTCAAACTGTGGGGTATCTTGACAAATAAAATTGGTAAAGAGGGCAGGAAAGTTGAAGAAATGATGGACACAGGTACTGTTTTCGAAAATGATTAAAAAGTTCGGAACATATACAACGTAAGATGCTAGAAGTTCATGTTTGATTATTGCGAAGTATATGGGCATTGTGAGATTCGCTGCAAAATCGTGTCGTTCAAGGAATGGAATTAAAACGAAGAAAAATCTTTGCTCGATAATCTTTCGTCCAAAGGGTTCCACCCAGTACGAGTTTGTCTGTGATTCGATCCAAGATGCTAGCGTGGAGCTGTAATTCGTACCGTATTTCAACCGAGTGTTGAAATACAAAAAGACAGTTTCACATTTCCAGGCCCGGTTTTTGAAAATGTTTAGCCGTAATTGGTTTTGATGGAGGGGACGATTGAAAGCGGGATTTGTGTAAATTCGTTTTCTTGAGGTGAGTTTCATTGGGGTGTTTCTTGTTAATTTGTGCGGGAAATCTTCGGAGTACAGGTGATGAAATGTGATGTGATTGTAGCAAGGTGAATTAGACGATGTGGCGGTGATCATGTGGTCTAACGGTGGCACTGTACAGTGATCAATTGCTGATGAATTTGCTAATATGTAAGTGCATAACAGAATTTGAAGAAATATGAAGGATTGGTTCCGCGACATTGTTTGAATTTGATAGGACTTTTAGGAATACTTGAGGAATGTAGCTAGGATGAATGACGTGGCTTACTATGTAACTTGAAAAAATTCAAGTGTTTCACAATATTCTTCTGGATTACTACTTACATATAAGTTATATAAGATCTGCGAATAAATTAATCATATAATGATAAACTTATCCCTGGTTCGTGTCTTCTGATAATTATGTAGATGTAAATATGTATGTACTTAGGGAAGGATAATTACATTCACACTCCGAACGGTAAATTTGGTTAGGTTATGAATAACTAATATTACAAGTATATATACGAACTAGCGGAAATAAGTTGTAAGTATGTGAGTATTTAAAAATGCTAATTTCCTGGAATGTGTGTTTATTAAGAAAAGTAATCCCAGTTACGTAAAAATTTTAAATAACTAGAACATTTTAAAATTTGATCTCGAGGGATTTATATAACTATTCAGAAATTCTTTGCGTTTATGTATACACGTTGGAGCTAAGGATATGTGCAAGTTATCATAGAAATTTCAAACTCGATCACCCGCCCAATCTCAACAGTCATTGGGCAAAGGTGTTCACAGATTAGATGGCTACCCTCTACATATATGTAAATATTATCTACCCTACACTATATCTTCATCCAAATTATCAGGGCTCGGTTCTGGACTAGATCGTGCAAACTCTTCTTCCATTGCTACCTCCAACTCTTCCATGTATTCCGTGACAATCGATATGAAATAAATATCTACCGCAATTGTAACCCCTTGCCCAATAATTTGCCCCACTTTAAACGTAGTGAGGGTATACACGAAGCCGATGATGGCCAGGATAACACTAATTGTTGAAACCCACGCCCACGCAACGCAGAGAGGGATGCTTCCCTAAAGAAATAAATTGGGATTAGTTTTAGGTATACATAAGGGCAGTTTTTAGTCCCTTACAAGAAATCAGTGAAAAGTTTGAGCGTATTTTAATGTATAGTCAATACCAGAATGGTATATGTATAGTTTGACACCCACGGTAATAATGTGACTTGTACCTTCTTTGCTCCAAAGTATAACGAAATCGCTGCCAGGATGGAAATCACCACGGCAACGATCATCCCGAAATAGGGTGCAATCGCTAAACATGAATAATTAATAATTGTTGATGAATCTAATAAATATTTATAACTGAAATGAAAATATTTTGAACGTACATAACCTAAATTTGTAATCGTTTCTGTACACGTCCCACCGTAGTTCCTTTGTCGCAGCTATAATCGCAAGTAAAGAGAAGAGCATACCTGTGCCGACAACCTTTAGAATAAAAATTGACACAAGTTACGATATTCCTGCATAAATTGAAAACAAAATTAGTACATACCGATGGAGGTATAAGTAGTCACCCTGTGCACAATAAATATTTCAAAATGAGTACATTTTATGCTCCAAGATACAGACAAATTATAGCCGAGATGTAAATATCCATAAAAATAACCGCTATATAGTAGAAGATTATAACTAAATCAAATTAAAATATTAATTCATTATTTATTTTTAATTTTAAAGTTATGTAAATATTTACTAACTTATTTTAATCCTCTTACAAAAATAGATATAAATATTTGTACATTATCGATAATAAAATATGTCCTGAAAATAAATTTTTTTAAGATTGGTGACAAACTACGGAGAAATCGTCGTAATTTGCCATCGTCACTTTTAGAAAATTATTATCCATACAAAATGAAATATATGTCATACAGGTACATACATTTTATTATGCTGCTGGATTTTGAAAATATTTTATTTGTCCCTTGGTTTTTTAATTATCAACTGCTTGATTAAATACGTCTTTTTATTCGTAAATCAGAATTTGACCCGATTTCAAATAAAATTATAATAAAATTAATAATTATTTTGCATGCCTCTAACACTGTATATTATTTGACCTAGGTATAATAAACATATTATTACGTTAGACCACTTGACTGGGAGATTGGTGCGAGTTTGCTCGTTCAATTCTTTCTTGCTTGGCCCTCTCCAATTCTTCAACATATGCATATACAACATATAGGAAATACATATTCAGCACAATTCCTCCAGCCTGTGAAATAACTTGCCTGGTAGTCATGTTCATCGTCATGAGAGTAAATACGACACCGACGAAACTCAGAACCAGCCCAATGGTTGTGACACAGATCCACACCATGCAATTTGTCCGTTTTCCCTAAAATATAGAAATTTCATATCTGTGGAATTATATATGTTTATGTATGTAACTCTAAATCTAATAATCGTATAAAAATTTGGAGGGGTTAAGTATCGGCTATGTGATGAAAATAGGGTACTTTGTCTTCAATCACTAAACTTTTATAGTTCTACAAATTACTTCCTTTATTCTATCTTATTTGATTTATAGATAATATTTCTTTAACAATAGATAACTGCCATTTTCGAAATAATACAATCCATGAGTTCAGTGTAAAAATCTGTCTGCGATTTGGACTCCCCGCAGTCTAAAGTCTATGCTCTTTCCCACTCCATCTTAATTCCCAAATGCATGCTGTGGGCTTACAATAACGGGCCTATATATAAGTCACCCCTTAAGTGAACGTGTAACACCCACCAACACCACACCCATTTTTTGGCTATTAAAATACTAGTCGTATAAAAATTTGACTGGCACCTTATTGGAGGGAAGATTTTCTTGCACCTTTGCATTTCTTGCAGGTGAAAACGGGTAAAGTGGTTAGAAGCACTAAATGTTGGGAACGTAAGCAAAAAAATAAACGTTGCAAATTATTACTTGATATCGGTTATTTGTAAACTCTACGGCTGATTGTTACTTATTAGTAGGCCAAAAAGTTTGTAAAAAGTTTATATTATGCGAACCTGTGCAATATGTACAAGTGAATTATCCAAATACAAGAAATGTGTATACCTACATTTTTTGCTCCACGGTATAATGAAATTGCTGACGAAATAGAAATCAGAATGGCCCCGATCAACACGTAATAGAGGATATCTAAATTAATAAACAGTTTTATGACACTAAAAAAAACACAATTACGAAAGTAACCGGATTTCTTTTAAATAAATTATTTACTTCCTCGGTCGTATTGGTTCCACTCATCACTTGCTGAAGGTATTACGAGTAAGAAGAAAATCAGTGCTGTTCCACAAATCTGGGGCACAGAAATTGAATCAATTATCTAAATCCGTGATTAAATTAATGATGGGTATTTAACATCACAGTCAATGACGCCGTACATGACAGCGGGAAATTTCAAAAATTATTTTTTAATGTCAGTTTTACAGCGTTTATGACCATGGCGTGAATACCCCTACTGCCAGGAAGTATTTTTTAACTTACCGATTGAAACAGTGCGATACATTTGGTTTGCTTTTGCCTCGTGTCACCACACATTGCGAATTATTTATTCAGGGTGAAAATAAACTTATAAATATATCCCTGTTTTTGTAATTTTGCAATTTCAAAAAGTAGCAATTTTACCGAACAGATTTTTAGCTTGGTGGTCGGTAGGAATATAAATGAATACTCGAGTGAGACGGAAAATGGGACAAAATGTGTTTATTTGCTTTGGAAGAACGGTTTGTTTACATATCCTATCCTGTCAGAGAGTTGGGGGTAACGTTAATTTTTATGTTGGAAATGCAGATACTGAATTAATTTGATTTTTCCCCTGATTTTTTAATTATCCCTTCAAAAATCAATTACCTGATTCAGTACGTATTTTTATTCGTCAACCAATCTCTAACCTTGTTTAAAATCATAATTAAATTAATAATATACCTCACAAGTAATTTAGTCATGTCTCTAACACTGCATATTATTTGATTTAAGTATAATAAAGATATTATTACGTTAAACTAAACCATGTGTTCGTCTACCTTACCGAGGGACGGGTTTGACGTTACTTGTTCAATGCTTTCTTTTTTTGCCCTCCCCAATTCTCTATCGTATGCATGGACAACCGATACGAAATAAATATTCAGCGCAGTTACTGCAATCTATGAAATGAGTTCCATTGTTTTCAACGTCTCGATGGTAAGCATGGCACCGAAGAAACTCAGAACCAGTCTACTTATTTTGACATAGACAAGGTGTAGTGAATACCCCTGCTGTATTTTTTGTAATCTCTTACCAATTCAAACTTTGCTATACATATGGTTTTTTGATGCTTAGTGTCTCCACATATTGCGAATTATTGATCCTTGTTATATTTTCAAATTATAAAATTCACCCTTTTTGCGCTGAAGTGGTTTCTGTCTAGGTTCGCTGCATAATGCTAAAGTGGGAAAACATGCATGTTTACATTCGATATTGACAGCACTGTCTAGGTTGATAAATAGTCCATGCTGTTGTTGGGAAGACACATAATGATGACATTTGATAATTACCAAGTAAATGAGAATTAAAGATGCGCATCATACCATCAAACTAGGTAATGTAATCCAGCTAATCTTCTTCTACTTACAATATCAATAAATGCTGTAGTCCGAAAGAAAATAATGTTGTCACATCTGTGCCAATAAATTAATTGAAATTGTTTTTCTAAGAAATATTTTGTGCTTGTAAACGTATGATTTATTCCGTCATGATATTAATCTCCATATGTATATCGTATTATTTAATTATTTTCCCTTGCATGAACGAGATTGAGAATGTATTTGCTAAGGTACCTAAAGTTTAATCTCTCGTTGCTACATGAGCTTCTCCCTTCTGAGATTCTATTCTCGTTTATTGAGCTTCTTCATCTTCGTCTCTGTATTAAATCTTATTTCCCAAGTAATTAAGATTTCCACATGGCACAAAACGTTCGAAATCTTGTGATTATTATAAGCTACATAATCTCTCATATGGGTAATTAAATTCTCAATTAGTAATGTCGATTTAATATACAAGGTATGAAATTAATTCTCAAAATAATCGTCAATCCAGAGCCTAAGCCATTTTTAATGAGTTTCATAACTATGTATGTAACAATTTGAGATATTTGCAGTAGGCTCATGGAAATTGCAAATACTTGATTCGTATCTTGATGCCTTCACAAAACAATTAATTGATGCAATATTCACATGATTTTATTCTCAAATCAAACTTTGATCTTAAAATATTCAAATTTTGCCGCCATTAAATAAAATCTTGTCTCACAATCCCCCACAATAATTTACCGCTCCTGCCACATCTTTTGAATCAAGTCCAAATCCATCTCCTCCGTGTACTCATGCGCCAAGACATCTGCTCTCATCACGGTATTCCACTCATCCTTAACCTCTTGTGGAGCGGTCATCCTACTCCAGCAGTCGGTCGCTCTTGGCACCCTGTTTTCATTTCTGTTAACCAATAAGTAACTTTCCGCCCCGACCCAAGCCTCCAAAACGAAGGAGACCCGATTCGAGTCAATTTCGTTCAGGATTTCGCGCTGATCTCGAACAGTTGTGGTATCGATGACTCGTTGCGCTTTCTCCTCCACGTCACATCCACTACAATACTTGAGAAGGGTATTATTTCCGATGAACCCGACGACTTGGGTGTCTCCTCTGGGGTCCACGTAGCAAATTAATTTCCAGTAACAGGCCGGAACTTTGTAGCCGATATAGGTCGGACTCCAGACGTCGTCTCGATCGCAGATTCCGGTCATGACGTAGCCAGCGTCGGCGGCTATGGCGTAATTAATACAAAGAATTATTTATTGGAGGTATTCACGTCACCATTATAAACAGGGTAACTGTGGTATAATAAACTTGTGAAAAATAACAATCAAATCAAACTCGAATAAAACAAATCCTGCTAAAATCATGTAAATTAGTCAAGGTTCAGAGTGTGATGATCACGCTTGGTAATTTAATGTGATTTAATTGAAACACTGTTATTTTTGTGATTTATTGTATTTTACTACGCCATCTACCGGGGTACATTTTACCTATATGATATCGCTAAATGGGGACTATTAAAATTATAAAAAATCACATTAAGTAACATTAAATCACACAGTTATGTGGTTTATATCACCTTGATGTTATTTCAGGAACATTAAATTTATCCTAGTTACGTTACTGAATACCCCTACTGCAAAAAAAAAACTTGTCTACTCACCAAAATGTCTTTGAGCCCTACTTTCCACCGTAACCCAAGGATTTTGATTCGTCCAGGGATCTTGTGGCGCAATATTGATGCAATAGAACGTACTGCTTAGTGCATCTACAGAAAATCGGTACGGGTTTGCGGGAGTGATATGACCACGATCGAAAGCGGTACGGTTACTTTTTTCCTAAAAATAAAAAAATATGTTACATTTCGCACAAGGGATCTAGATGGTAATTACCGTTAATTACCGCCTAATATTTACCGTTAATTACCACTTGACATTTCTGTGAATAACTGTCAAAATCGATTTAGGGTAATATGAAACAAATATAATAGTTTTGTCACGGTTATTCGCAGTTTTTCTATTTTTCTCAATTATGCCCACTGTCAAGGGAATTATCCAAAACAGTGTGAATTTCCCCCTGTTTCTCGCAGAAAGACGAACTGTCAATTATTAAGTTTGCGGTACCTACCCTCTGTTCAACCGTCATGTTGTACGTATTCTCACAAACGGTTTGGTACCCCCAAATATCGGGGCAATCGTACCGCCGGAAGTCGTCTAAACGGTTATACGTCGTCAACTGGTTTAGCTCATTGTGCAACGTTGTCGTGGCGAAGGGAAGCCCGCGGAAGGCGTCGTGTTGGACGTACATCAAATTAATCGGACCCAGTGGGGAGGTCGAGTTGATGACGAAGGAGTAAACTCCATCTAGCACCGTTTCCGGGCACATTGTGGACTGCGCGGTTGCTAAAATATTTAAAGAAAAATTAATTTATATAAAATAGAACAATTAAGAAACTGTCCGACAAAACGGCAGTTTTAATTAAGGTATATATTTTGTCTTTATTATACTCAAAGTTACGGCGAACAAGACGAGAATATAGATGGACGAATGCATTGCTAATTTTCGTCAAAATCTGGGTGTCCAGTGAACCGACAAGTGATCGAAACTCCTCGGATGCGACTAAGGATTCGTCTAAAGTGAAACGCGGAGTAGTTCTGAATGGGCTGGTTGAATCTGGTTTCGAGCACCATTTATGCAACACGGTGATGGGGTGATGGTTACGTTACTGTGAAATGTCAAAATGATAACATTCCTCGATAACTTAATATTAATTAATTAAGTGTAATCTTGTCATGTGGAGAGATAAATAAATTCGTACAACTGGGCATTATACAAGCTCGTGCGTAATGTTTGGAAGAATGTTTTGTACGAATTAAGTAAAATTGACAATTAATCTAAACTTATGCAATTTGTTTTGAATTATTTCAACTTAAACTCTTTCAACTTAGCTGTCACACGTAAATGGTTGATGTTGCAAAAAGGTGAGATATTTATGGAATGAATTATATATTTGTATACATAACTGGTTGTCACGCGGTTATGACAGTGATTAAAAGATGTATGTAATTGTTTACATAATTGACGAATTTCTACATCGTCAATCCAAGTCACTTGAACCAAGTGATGGATGAGTTGATTATTTAAATCAAGCAGTAGTCGTGTGTCTTTAATGAGGATCTTCAATAAAATTGTGGGGGCCGATACCGAATGAGCTTCCACTTCCGCTACAGGAAACTTATTAACTTGTCCAGAATTAACGGAATTTTACAAGCAAATTTATATATAAACGGGTTAAATTCCATAAATATTAAGCATCAACGGTTAAATATTGCTTCACTTTTAGGTCTTCTGCATATAAATGTTTGTAATTTAGCAATGCTGAACGTTTCACTAAATTTAAACACAATTACCCATTCCATAACTTTCTTTCAATGGATAAGTCAATAATTCTGACAATTTTAAACCATTTTAATATTAAAATAAACCATAAATAAGTTATATATAGCGCTTAAATTTATATCTTATTCGATTTATGCAAGGTTTCACAAAATTTATTACATTACCAACATCACGAAACTGTATCGATTTCAAATTTAACTGCTACATACATAACCGATGGCTATATGTCTTCCACTCAATTCGCATTCTAAGTATTTTAGCAACGATTTGACCATGGCGTCCTGGCTGTTATCAAAATTTCCTCCATATTTTCAACACCTTTGGGCATTTCCGATACCAAAAGCAACCCTTCTTTCCACCCAATTACTAGAAACTTATTCCGCCACGTTTGACACTGCTTTCTTTGAACGACATCCCATATCTTGGAATGTTTCCCAGGAACGATTCACTATTCGCGGGGTATGGTCGTGCAAATTGTACTGGTACAATATTTTCATCGTTCTCATCTTAATGAACGGAAGTTTTACCATGGTTATTGTAACAAGATTCCTTAATGGCAATAGCCCCACCTGGGTTGGGATTTTTTTCCCGTTAATCGGCACCTTGATTGGGAGCATGTTTGAATTTTTGTTGCTTGCTGCACACTACGCCTTTGATGTGGTGGAATTAATTGAAAATCTGGTGAAATTGGAACGCGCTTGGTAAAGGGTAAGATATTTACTGTATATAAAATTCGTCTACGTAGGCTGAGATAAAATATTGAGATTTGAGGATATTTTGAAAATAATTATGAAATTTTAGAATCACTCTCACACGCTCGGTACAACTTGCCAACTAATCGAAAATCGATTCAAATCTTGAAACTACAATATCCTTTCTTGGTAATCGCCGCCTTCATCATGTCTGGCTGTTCCGTATATTTCAAACTTTGTCCACACGGCTACCTCCTCGAAGAATGGTATGGATCATACCTCGCCAATTATAGATGGACACGCTGGACAGCCTGGTTCCTCAGCTACGTCACTATGACGATTGCCACTGTCGAAACTATACAAATGATAGGAATGATGATAACATTTTTACCTACGATTGTACTTACATGGGAAAAAATTACGGATCTGACCAGCCAATTAGCTGTGGATGAACAATTTGCTAAAATTATCGCGAATTATAGACAACTTCAAATAGTTGGCGGTATTGGGAGGGATTTCGTTTTGAGCATGCTTTTTATATTTGTTTCTACTGTATCCATTCTTACGCCAGGATTTGTATACGTGGCAATCAAAATGGCTCTGAAAATGCCTACTGGAGCATACCTGTGTGTCCCGTATATTTTACAGGTCATATTTTTCTTGTCGTATTTCCTGCTAAGGGCAATTGAAAGAGTGAGTGCGAAATGGATGGAGGGGTTGACAAACTTGAGGCGGGGCAAGGTCAGAAGTTCGTTGGAGTGGAGGGTGGTAAATTCGATACCGATCTTTACCATGCAGTACGGATTACCAGGGAATAAATTGATGGATATTGGGAATCGGTATAAGACCAAGTTTTATGCTGGAATTCTGGACAATACGCTGACGTTGTTGTTATCATTTCGAAATCCATGAAATCAATTGTTAATATTGTGGAGACAGAAGCTACACAAATAAACAGCGTCTGCTGAGAATGAAATACAATATTTGTAGGGTGAGACATAAAAATAAGATGAATTTGATTAAATGTTTAACCTCATTATACGAATAAGCTGATGATATTAAATGCAACAATGTTCAAAGTCTTTCATTTTATCAATCGTTCTATATTCGAATTAAAAGAAATAAAATATGTATACACTGCCTTTTTAATGGTTATTGGAAAATAAGTGTGACGGTCCACAATTCCTTCTATTAATAAAAAACATTATTTAATATCAAATTACTAAATTTACACAATAAGTTTCCTGAAATCTATTCGATTTCCAGACATATTTTACCTCCTAAAAGTGCTAAATCTAAGGAGCACTACGTCACAGTAATATTTGTCCATTACATTACATTACATTATTCAGCCATAATGATACAGACACTAATTTTATTTACAGATTAATAAAACCCAAATTAATTTTAATACTAACATTTATACAATAAAAGCAGCCTAACACTGCTCTTCGCACACCAACTCGACATTACCAACGGGGTCGAAATTTCCATAAAGTTGCTGCCAAACCTTATCTTTACTAGGGAACAAGATCTAACCATTTTTCTAAAGATTATCCTACTCATTCTGTTCATTGGCATGGATTTGGTTGAAAATCCCAACACACACTTTCTCGAGCAACGATTCGCATATCCGCAAATTGTACCTATTGCAATGATTGAATTGAACGAGGCTGTCGCGAATGTTGGAAATAAACCGTGGCCGAGACTTTGGAATATATCCGATTTTAGCGAAACTGTTAGATACGTTCCTAAAATATTTCCAAACGATATCGTTACCAACACAGCTGGGAGAATGACATCTCGGAAACAGAAGTTTACTTGAGACACGATTACAGAGAGATGTCTGTAATGATTGATTATTTCTTCGGCTTTATGTGTCGATTTACTGCACCTGGAAAATAATACTGGTTAATTAATCCATTTTAGAATTATAGAAAATTTCACCACAGATCCATGTGCACTAAAACGAGATAACATATTTAAATTGCACGTTACAACCATTGAATTTCAAGATTCAAGTTGTGAATTAATTGATTGGATCGATTAATTGGTTATTACAGCTGCAAAGGGTAGCCATGCATATACTTTGTTAAAGATGTTAATCTCGTTGTAATGCACAATACAAGTGTTCTCAAATCATATAACACTGTGATTTATTGTGATTTAAAGTGATTTTAATAGACACCATCTAGCGATATTACATAGCTAAAATCTACTCCGCTAGATGGCGTCTACTAAAATCATATAAATCACGTAAAATCACATTTACTGTGATTATTGTAGTCGATTACCATTTTATTGCTGATAACTCACACCCTATGCATATCAGAGCCCCCAAGAATATTTTGAACAAGAGAATGCAAAACGTCACTCCCAGGATGAGCATGGCCCAAGCTTGGATAAGAAATATGAAAGTGTGGCCCACGGCGACGCAAATCCCAGTCCGAGTTGGAAGTAAGGAACCAAGAAAAGGTTGCATGCCGGTATTAAATAACGGAATGGCGTTTATAAAGATCCAAGAAGTTATCCCAGTAAGGGTAGACAATAAGTAGCAACATTTTATGAGTAATTTCCAGAAGTGTAATTTTATGGAAAAAATTTCTGAAAGTTAAAATTTTATACGAATGCTTGAAACGGTTTAATGAAATCACAGTATACTTATTTATGTGATTTATTTTGCTGTTAATAGTCCACATCTAGCGATATTGCATAGTTTACACACGTGCCGCTAGATGGCGATTATTAATATCACAATTAATCACAAAATCCCACATTAAAATCACAAATTTTGATAATCTCAAAAATCATCTAAAGTCACATGATTAACTGTGATTATTACACTTTGAAAACTTTAGGAAATTTGAGTGATTTGGATGAAATTAAATAATACTTACCTGATTCATAACAATAGGTATTCCACTGTTCGATCAGCATGTTAAGAAGTGTTACGAATGCCTTTGAATCTATGAGGAATGGATACACTGCAGCCCAAGATGGTACAAACACTCCGACAATTACTGCAGCAAACATAATTAGAAATCGGTCTAACACACCCCCGATAATTGATACGACTCCATTTAGCGCTATTCCTAAAATTGTTAGGGAAAAAATGATAATTTTCGTTAGTCGGAAACGATCTGGAGAAATGCGAAATTTGTGCTTCAATTTGTCATATGAAATTGTCTTAATTCCAATCTTGGATAGAATTTGTAGATCAAAAATAAACAAATTTATTGAGACAGAAATCATTTTAATTATGAGATTCGCAAGTTATAACTGTGAAAAATGATGGTTAAATTGCATTATCAGAAATGACGGTAAAATTATCTGCCAAATTCAATCGATATGTTTACTCTTAACAAATAATTCATGCGCCACTTCCGCTGAAGGGAAACTATGCTAAACTCTGGTTTTATGATGAGACTGCAAAACAAATAATAAATAAATATTAATCATGCCAAACTTACGAAAGTTTTGTTCGAATTTATTACCGGGAAATTAAGTTGATGCAGAATTGTTGTCCTTACAAATATGTATACAAGTAGAGTATTCCTTCTGTGTACAGTTATGCCCCAAAATTGCATATTCAGTGACTACCAAGGTACTTTGTCGTCAAATTAAACAATATAAATATCAAATATTTGCTGCTGATATCCTAGGATTCTTCGAATATTCAAATATTTCACAAAAATCTGATTTCTAGTAACATTGAGCAATTTTATCAGAGTTTATTTTGGTTCGCAGTAATGAGTTTTAGTAATGAGTAATGAATATAGGCAATTGGGGTTTATCAATTATACTAATTTCCTGATAACCGAATCATTTCTAGTTCAAGTTAACATTTAAAGTATGTAATAATGATCCGTGCGTTTCTCAATTGTTGTGAGGGTGAATATGATAAGTGCACAACGTACTGATTTTCTGCTTAAATAAACAATTTAGTTTGTCAGAGATGGTTTCCAGACACTAAAAATAGCAATATTAGACAGGGATTAATCATTTTTACAAAATGCATTTATTGGTAACAAAATAATTTAAAAACCTTCCTCATAACACCCATTTCTTTCTTAACTAATTAGTTGAATTATCAAGCATCTCACTTTGAGAGTATCTAACGACGATGGTAGAGTTGCTTGAATTGTTAAAATGCGTATCCAGAGTTGTAGTAGCGACAACATGTATCTGAAGAACGCCACATATCCTTGTTTGAGCTTGGGTTTTAAGTCGTCGCTTACATATTGACTTAGCAATTGTAGACTTAAATTTTCTATTGCTGACTTGTGTGCGTCGTTGACGAATGGCCTTGTCTAGCATCAATTTTATCTTACGGAAAAGTTCAAGTGGATGGAAATGATTTCTAAATTTAAAACACACTTCAGCACCAAATGTTACAATAGCGATGGAAAGAAGTAATAGGAGAATATAGTAGCAATATAGCACCGATTCCTGATTGACACTAGCAAAGTCATCATTGGTCTTTTTTGGGGGATCCTTAAATAAAGCTCGCAGAAAATATTCTCTGCTATACACCCCAAGCTGTTTACTACGCAATCGAGCATGGCTTAGTCTCATTACCTGCAAAAATCGTTCAGTGAATCCACCCTCTACTACTCCTGCCCATGATCTTTGGTAAAATTTGGTAAAGAAATTTCGATACAAGACCCACATTAAGTGTTCCTTAAATGATAAGTCTTCCTTCCCTTGAAATACGAGGAAAGCGTTGGACGACTTTATACCGTCAATTATTTCATCTGTATGTAACTTGGAGTCCATTATTGCTAAAATTTTTCCTTTGGTGATCAACTCCCTTGTTGTATTGTACTCGTACAGTTTGTCCTGCTGAGATATATTGCGTCCAATGCGGTACGCATAGTTCCTTGGCAGAAATATATTTCGCTCAAGTTTTTCTAACGTAGAAGAAACCTTCTTTCCGTAAATTCCTAAGGCTATAGCGTTATTAATATGGTATTCTAGGTTACCACCATTTTCATATTTACCCGCACAAATGACTGGAATTCCAGATTCTGCAACTTCTTGCAAGGTTAGCGGAACGTGTGGAAACACAACCGCAGTCATCGACGTGGTTAGTTCACCTTTGTATAACGACACACAAATGGTCATTACAAGCATGAAGGATCCAACAATCCAGATTGCATTAACACCCCATATACCCATTAGTGGGTCAACTCTTGAACTAACTTGGGACATTAGGACAATGTAAATAAACCAAGCTCCTTCAAATAATGATCCTTGTGTTAGATATCGGCAATTTTTGATAGCGTCAGCCGCATATATAAGAATTAGTACGATAAAACAGATTAACAAAATTGATATCCATGTGGGCAGGGATAATGGCTCGGTTAAGGATTCAAACCCTTTCAGGGTCCTGGGTCAATAACAATAACGTAAAAATTGAAAGGGATTTTAGTGCTAACAAGATAATCGCCCCTAACAGAATGTGGATTTAAGAAATAGAAATCTATACCTGATTCGTAGTATTCAATTATAAAAAATATGTAAGATTGCTCGCCAGGAGTAGAGGATATTGTAAAATTCCGTCGTTCTGCGACAAATAAGACACCACATTCAGACCATTCTTCAGAATTGTAACCACACCTCCCTTTACCTTTCGGAAACGATATACCTATACCATACTTATCTCTAACCATAACCACCCGATTTTGAAGATTGCCATTGTAAGTGTTCCACATATCATCAAACTCTTGAAGCGTTTCGGAGTCAACAATTTGGAACGACGAACAAGGAATGCAAACTGTTGTTAAGGTTGACATGTTTTTGGACGATTAGAATTTTTAACGTTATTTGCATCCCAACAATTTCAATGGGGTCGAAGTACCTGATCTCTATCTGATGGAAAGAGTAGAGAAGAAAATATTCAGGGTTTTCATTACGTAAGAAAATTAAATTTGTTCTTAAAAAATAATAAAGCAAGTAATATTGTGTCGAGTCCATAGCGATTGCGGAAAGCCATCGTTTGTTCCGTTGGACGAGGGGATGACGCTCTGTATAGTTCAAAGTAACAAATAGGTTTACCTCTAGTAAAAATGGAGATGTAGGAAAGTTGTTTCTGAAAGTGTGAAAGTCCAGCGAGTTTAAAAACTCTTGCGTCGTTACGAGACTCACTGTACTGGATTTGAACCATTCGCCTATCAGTGTCATTACTGATTGCGAAGTGACAACGCCTGAGGATAGGATCGGTATATGAAATAAGTAGAGAAGGAGATTCATGACAAAATCGTGGCAATGGAAACTAATTTTGAATTTTATTAATATTTCTAAAACTTTGAATGCATGTGCAAGATAACCTGGAGTATCAACGATTCTATTGAAATTAGCGTTTCTTAAATGTTTCACATGCAAGTTGTAGTAGCAATGCATGTAATTAAATTGATGTTTTTATTCTAATACACAATCACTGTAACTAATTCATAGTTTATAAACCTAATATATTTGAAAATGAGGATACATTCGACTCCAAATTATCAAAATCTCTAATAGTATAATTTTCTTGGCACCCTTAAATTAAGACACTGGTTTGTTAAGTTCTAACCGCTAAGTGTCCATTGATTAACAAGTTTTTAACTAAACTAGAAGTAAGGTTCGTCAACATCTATAGAATACTTTGACTAAATGAAAGATATTGCAAGAATACGGCGGAATGTAGGTAAATTTAGAAATTTGGAATCTAATTTGGAAAAAAAGACATGTATTTGGATCTAATTTATAGATGTATTGCTTTCAGACATGATGAAATATTTATTGCTAGAAACGCTTATGTAAATATGCTAACATTATGCAAATTGTTTTAATAAATTTAATAGTTTGTAAAACTAAAGTGAATATTTTCGCTTAACACGCAATTGTCTACTACCTGTCCAAAAACAGACTGAACTACGTTTGTAGAGAGCATTGAATAATTAATTGTACATTAATTAATTGTAGTGTAATACATATGTAGATGATGGATTCTTTGCAGTATTTAATTTTCCAAAAACGTGCAAACTAAATAAAATTATGAACAATTGTTAAGTATTTTTTTCACAATATTTGGGATATTTTCGTCAACTTAAAATTAAGAAGTATGCAGTGATGTTGAGTAACACAATGTTGGAAATATTTGAGTATTTTATCGAGTTAAATCAATTGTGGTCATGGTTTACTAATACATATGTCCAAAATTTTTAATTGTATAAGTACACATTGAAAATATGATATTGTGGTGCTATTTATCAATAAAAATAATCCCCGCGAAAGATACAATTCCTCTCAAGTTAAAAAAAATTAAATTGAAATGTGAAAGCAGTTCCCTGGTAGCTTAATGAGTAAAAACGTCTGATATGTGTTCAGAAGTCGTTGGTTCGATTCCCCGTGGGTTAGCAAATTTTTCACAATATAACAATCCCATATTCAATTTAAAATTACATGCGAGGTCGCTTGTTTCACAAAACAATTTTTGGTGGGTTTTGGTTTAAAATAGTAATTTGGTTTTTAACTTGCACCAAGTCGAAAAATATCGTCTTTTAGTCTTCATGACAAATAAAGATGCAAAAATTTCTTAGAAAAACACGTCATATTTATTGTTCAATTTGGGTGTCTAATTAAGCCAATAAAATTCTAACGACTAAATCTTCCACTTTCTGCTTTTTTTATCCTACTCTCTTTATCAGCGGCCTCCCGGGATTGGGATAGGGGTTCTTAGGAACTCCCGGGATTGGGATTGGGGCTGATGATGACATGTTCGGAATAGTCGCTCCTCCAGGAATCATATTCTTCCCAGTATTTGCAAGATTCGCGCCCGTTTTCATAGCAGCATTTGGATCTGTTGGCATTGGTGGCATTCCTGGCACTGCTGGAATCGGAAGGGGAACTCCCGGAATTTGCTAGATAAACAAATTATGTAAATCACAATGTCAAAAATTTAGCTATAAATTCGTTTAATTTACCGGAACACCCTGTACAAAGCAAGGGGACAAAATTACTGCAAAAGTGAGCAGAATCACAACCCCGGAAATGGAAGATGGTCTCATATTTGAAATTTCCTAAGAAATGTCCGGAAATTTGTATTGTTATAGAGATTTTCGGAAATTTATACCTACTTGCTCAAGCTTGGATTTTACAATGAAAATGTGTGAAAAGTTAACCACGTCTTTTTTGGAAGAACAATGGTCTGGAAGTAGTAAAAAATATGTGACACGTCTGTCCCACTTGTAGGATGTGTCGTCACAACGATTCAGGAACAATGCTTAGGTGAAGTGGTGTAAGAATTTGACGAGGGCGAGTGGGAGTAATTTGCGCAATGTAGGCATATAAGTGCAAAATTGAATGGAAAATAATTTGGTAAAATGAATAAGTAACCGTGTTTTATTTAGTTTAGACATACGTCACGTTTTTTAATTGGAAATAGAAAAAGGCGTCATATGTAATGTCATATGAATCTGTTTTTTATACTTTGTGATTTATTATATACATGAATGAAGGTCTTTAATTAAGCATGACAAGTTATAAATTCATTTCTGAGTATATTTTATTTTAAAGTTAGTCACTACTCCAAACTTTATTTTAGATAGGAGTATTCACGTCACCCCGTCATGAACAAGATAACTATTATAAAAAACTGATATATTTTTTTAATTTATCAAAGTTATGTTATTCACGAATGTAACTACCATGATTGTTGTAAAAATCAAATATAAATATTGAATTTTAAATAAATAAATAAGTAACAATTTTTTCCGAGTTATGACAAATAATATGAATTAATTTCTGATCTCATGCACAAATCCTGGCACGTCACGGGCGGGATTGGTCAAGAAAAAGTTGACCGGTTTCAACCAGAAGCCTACAGTTCTGGAAAATGCATATTTTATGATTATAATTTATAATTTAATTTATAATTAAATATTTAACATGTCATCACTTACTCGCTCGACATGACCGGAAAATCTTCCACCACGGGGATATGCGTTACTCCGAAAACATGCCATAAAACGATATCCGTCCCCACCAAGTTTGAATCCGGCGCTGCCGCGACCCATTCCGGCAATCCTGAATTGTTAAGATACCTACCTCCCGCGTATAGTTGATCCTCCTCGTAGGACGTGACCCATACGGTGTAATCGACAAAGGCACACTCTGCATGGAGCGGACTATCGACATTCATCATAAGATGGATTGGGTTACCTGCGATGAGATGATAACCCATAGGAGTGTGGGAGTAAGGATGTTTCTTATCAAGATTTCCGTAAATGTGCCAAGATCTGGAGGTTACAGCGTTGGCATTTGTTCTGGCGAGGGATGGTGTCTTCAAAATTGTGGGAATTGCCGTGATTCCATTTCCGTAAGGGTTTTGGGGTGATCCGGTTGGACCTGGGGGATAAAAAGTTAATAAAATGACGAACCCCGTAGTTCCTAATCGACCCTAATCACTTGACCTCCTAGGTCATGGCTTATTCGACCTATGCCCTATGGCGAAATATATGTATAACTTGACCTTATCTTCGACTCACCATCCGGCACGACATCTGTCATCGCAACAGTATTTTCATTCCCATCAATCTCTGTGTCTAACCGAACTACGAATAAATGCTGATGATTCGGTGCCAGCACTCCGGGAGTACCTGTTAGCACGGTACCATGCTTCGGCAGGGGATCATCACTATTGAAACTTGCTAGAAATACCGGGGCATCAATTCCTTGCAAATTAACCTCCATTCGAATTGAGGCATCCTGATGTAGAATCCATCTCCACTCGTAGTCATAATTTCCCACGGAAGAAGTAAAAGTTAGAACAAGGCGCTGTTTTCTAACAGTGTAAGCTCTTCTATCCTTAGCGTTGTATTTCTTCATCAAAACGCCGACATCGTCTTCATACATACAAATCGCGGAAGGAATTGTGACCGGGAGGCCGGCCTTGTTGGAAACGACGGCATCGAAAAAATACACGGATCCCGCCTTACAGTCGACGTTGGGTCGAAGTGAGACGGCAGTCTGGCCAATGCCGTATTTACCAGCGTCATAAATCTGGAAAAAATTAGTGCTATTTTGACCACTATAAATTTGTGCAATTATATAACTACCATTTTTCTATGGTACGGCGGTCTTGGGTCACCATACGGGACGAAAAGTTCTGAAAGTGCGGCACGATACAGTAGCGGTCTAACTGCACCGTTGTCGTTGTAATTGACATGATGCAGAACTAGGCCTTCGCGAGCGTTAAATCTGCAAAAGTTGCCAAATTTTGGTGCGAAGTTGGAAAAAAATTGGCAATTTTATTTACTTACCCAACTCTAAAACTGAATTTTTGCCAGTCGACTTTATTCCCGGACACTTTGTAAGATGGTCCACCTAATTGAGTGAATTGGATTGGGCGGACGTCTTTCCGGAAAAAGTCGGGGGGAAGGAGGGTGGGGTCGTAGTTGTGCATGGTGAGTGGGGCAGTAGTATCACCGAGGGGGGCTTGACTAACGGCGAAACCGAGATGGGTTGGAAGTTCTTCGATAGCAAGCATCTTCTTGGCGAGGATGTCAACAATGGCGACAAATCCGACTTGGTGAGCTGTACTTGGAATATTTGGATGTTTCAAAATTAAAAATTTTCTAAATTTCCGAGTAATAAGCGTAAATTATTTAATATGCCCAAATACCATAGTAATTGTCGTGTGGGACGATCTGAAAAGTTATGAAGACTTGGGAAATCCTTTTCCCCAAGTATTCCGGACGATCGCCGGCATAGCCGAAATCGCTAATTTAAAAACAATCATATTTTTAGTTACCTAATAAATTGGTAATCACTGTTAACCTGTTGTGAAAAGTAGACAATTTTTTCTGGATATTCAAGGTTTCATAAATTTAGACGTAGGAAAATTTACATAAAATTCGTGACATACAAGAGGTTAATAATTCTATTAAATTGTTAAATCCGACTAACCCAGGTAGGGGAAATACCAGCGACATATTTGTCAACCCCATCGCTTCCATCCTCGCCTGGACGTTAGGATCTGCCAAAACGACCTCTCGAATATCCACACCTTCATCCATGGCGAACATCAGTGGTGTCCCGGGCTCCAATTCGACCACACTTGTCACCTTTTTGTGCAGTAAGTCCACCAAGATTTCATACCCTGTTTGTGTCAAGGGGTTAATCACGCTGGCAAACGCTACCCTGGATGTGAGTGGGGGTGTCGTGTCGGACAAGAAGTAGGGGAGAAGGTCAGATTTAGGGGGTTCTTTTAGCGTCACGGTGCAAAAGACGAGAATTGGAACGGTGGAGAAGTAGGATCGAATTAGCTGGGAGGCCAGCCGTATTTCAGGAGAGGTTAATGGATCCAGGGGATGGCGGGGGTTGGCTGTAGGTCTTGAAATTGGGGTGGGTCGGTTGGCTAAAATTTAAAATCCGAACGTGTAGAATATTATTATTAATTATTACCGACGAATATACTTTTCAAATCTACCGCTTTGGTTATAATTTATAACCGAATTGCAGCATGGATACGGAGGCTAAATCCTGACCAGACATGTATTTAAATAGATATGTCATCACTGGCGACAAAATAATAATTAACTTGGCACCCTGTCATATGACAAATTGTAACTGGAATTGCTAGAATAGCGTGTAACTACTTTCGGTAATAATACTGACTGCCAATTAATAAGAGTGTACGTAAGAATAGAGACAAAGTCTCGCCGATCTGATATCTATTGACGGAAAAAAGAAGATATATTACATAAGTTCTTACCCAGATTATTAAACCAATTTCCGATCCTTGCCATGTCTTCGGGCGAATTATTGACCTCTGTTGAGTTTCGCTGACTAATTACTGACATTAAAATACCTACCGTGAGAAACTTACGTTCCCATGAAAAGTTTAGCTTGACCATTTTGTTGGAAGTTTTACTGTGAACTAAAATTTATGCTAAGTCGTCTACTTCCAAAATGAGACTGAAGTCCAATTAATGAATTTTAGGGTTCAAATTAATTAAATCTAATTGTGGTTCTGAGACTGATTTTTATCTGGATTTTGTGACCAACGGGACAAATTATTTGTCCAGAGGTCAGTAATGTTTTAGCGGAAGTAGTTACATGCACTTATCACACGCTGGATAAATAATGTCCTAAATAAATATTAAAGTATGTTATAAATTGTATTTATACGAAAAGGTCAATCCTTTTGGAATACATACTACAAATACTTGCTAGATTAAGAGTAAGCAAACAATCCTAATTTTTCATGACAATAAACAACCATGACTGAACAAAATGAAGCCTACTTATATGATGGGATAAGATAATTGGAATTGTGCATCGTGAGAATCTGGATAAATGATTCTAGTTTTTGGAATATACAGTTGCTTCAGAAAATGCGGGGATATTAAAGATTTAAAGAATGCGGGCATCACATTTCGGTTTGAATAAAAATTAGTTTGCTAATTGTTAATTAATTAATTATTATTAATAATCGTGTATGGTTTCAGCCCACAAATTGATTAATACAAGTTTTCACGTCAAACAATGTACCTGTTCCGACTAAATTTGTTACACATTTATGTATTTATTAGCATTTTAATTTATTTAGGATGAAGTTTATACAGTAGATCTGCTTATGGAACTCACAATTTTGGGGAATTAATACAGTTTAAATTACATATAAATATTATTTTGGTCAAATTAATGTGCATACTAAATATTACATCCTGTATAGCAACACGCGAGACTCACACTTATTTTTTTATGAGGCCACATCATCGTACACTGAAAAATAAACGTTCACAACAACAACGTATTTATACGTATGTAACTTTATCTAGCAACAGCATCGATTTAATACACATTAGGCATGAATTTATCCCTCATTCAACTCTCGCGATCATCACCCTCAGATTGAGCAGGTGATTCAGTCACTGTTCGTATAAACATCTGTGCACAATGAAATATAAAGTTTGATAAATTCTTCATTTTTTTAAATTCAGAATGGAAAACGATACCGAACATAGTTCAATTTTACTCCAGAACTTTGACATGACCTCCATAACGAAGGAGGTCATCTGTTTATCGCCTCCACTAAAGTTAAAAAATCATTCGGAATCATCTTCCTCTCAGCCGGCATTCTTGTTAAGGAATTGTTTAACCAGGGAGGAATGTAAGGGTTTGATAAACCTGGCGGAAAATAAAAAGAAGGGCTTATTTACCCAAACTTTGGTAAATATAGAGGGTGAAGATGTGATAAATAAGGATGTGAGGAGCGGCTCGAGATACATTTTGGATTCGGTAATTACAAGTTTGATTATTATTTCTACAATTTGGGAGAAATTTCAAATTAGTCGTAAATTGTGTAAGGATTCTTAAATGAGCTTATTTTTTTTAATTTGCAATGTTTACGAAGCCGACGTGAATACCCCTATTGTAATTTTAGTAAATTCTAAATAAATTAAGTTCGTATTTATAAAATTACGATTTTACCACATTTACGACAATGACGTGAGTACCCCTGATAAATAAAAAATACTAATTTCAATTTGAGTTTTAGCCATTCCTAAGGAATTATTGAAATTTTAGGATTCATAATTTTCCCGGAATTTATTTGTATTCCTCGATAACCCCAATGCTAAAATAAATTACTTTGGAATACATGTATTGGGAATATGCTTAAAATTCCAGGAATCTACATATTTATTATCGCTCCCAGGGAATCGCACAACGCTAATCTAATTTCTTAAAAAAACCTAATTATTCCAGGAAGCCATCGTATCCCAACTTTGGACCAGAATCAGTCCTCACATCCCCCCCTTTTTGAAAGGCGCCGTCGTCACTGGACTCAACGAACGGTTGCGTTTCCTTCGGTACGAGCCTGGCCAGAAGTTTGTTCCGCATTACGACGGGACTTATGCGAGAGAAAGTGACCCCTTGGAAGTTAGCTTGGTCACTTTGCAAATCTATTTGAACGATAATTTCGACGGGGGAGAGACCAACTTTTTGGGGGATGATGACGACGATGATGACCAAGATTGTGACCCCGAGAAAGTCAGCGTTACCCCAGAGACAGGAATGATCCTGGTTTTCGAGCAGGACCTGATGCACGAAGGGGCCTTGATACGCGACGGGGTGAAGTATACGGTACGAACGGATGTGATGTATTCTTACTCGAAGAAATCTGGGGGATTAGTTCTTTAACTGGAGATAGAAAAAAAATTACACTAAATATGATGAGATTAAATATTTAATTAACTAATTTATTAAATCGGCATGCCAATCTTTCGATAAAACTGGGTGACAATTACGTACGGAGTTGAATATTTTGTGGACAAATAAACAAATTTTATAAAAATATTATTATAGATAGTATACTTTCTATTTTTATTAAAAATATACGTACCAAGTTATCTTTTATCTAATACTGTTATAGGATCTTATACATTTATTTTATTGAGTAGAATTTAGGGAAAAGTATTTCATCTTGAATTATGCAGTTTGGCGAAAAATTGATTTTCGAAAAATGAGTCGTAATTTACGTAAAAGTAAAATAATATCATAAATAAGTAAAAGGTGATATTCATCAAGAAATTTTAATCCCAATATAAAAAATTGTAATTACTTAATTTGCCACCCTCAATCGAGATAAATACCCCTAATATTTCATTATCTGATTGAACCATCTCCTCAAGATGAAGCGTATCATTTTATTCGACATGGAGCGAATAAGTAGGTTATTTTACTAACTGCATGTATATGTATATCATTGGGTTACGTGACGTTGCTAAGCAACTAAGAAAAATACGAATAAATTTTCAGGCATAAAAATGCCTGACTTTTTATATTGTCTCATCTTACGGTGAACTATTTATGTCGTTAAATAAATATAAAGGCTATGCTGATCCTTAGTTGGTAAATACGTTATTGCTTCCAACAGTTTGGGTCATGCAGTAACAATGGGGTATAATTTACTTATTAAATTTTTAAATGCATCATTAATTCTTACCTGGAAATTTTTGCTTGAAAATCTATTTATCAACCTTCGAATCCAAAGTCTTGACCGATCATAGACAAAAAGGGATGGAATTTGTTAGTCAGAATAAAACCGGAAAATACGACATGGCTAAAATAATCGGACATGGGAATTTTGCAAATCCGGAAATTGCTCATTGATCTTCTCATTTGCAGTAAAGCGTTTTCCTACAGCACTTCTGCAGGGGCATTTCCTAAAGGGATGGTGTCAACGTTTGACCTTGCGTGCCACATCGAGCAGAAATTATTGCTCGATTCTGACCTTGGGATAGATTTCTATGCACTTTTCGCCGGACCGGGGGCTGAGGAAAAAATCTGCACCCATGATGCGACCCGTATCCGTGACATTATTTCGTTCAATTGTTTCTCCGGGAAGAATTTTGAGGAAAAGGATTCTCAAAATGCCCCAAAATCCACCGGGATTTGGATCATGCGGTCATACATTAACCACTCGTGCAGTGGGGGCAACGCAGCCTGGCAAATTTACGGTGACGTCATCTTCATCAGAGCCACGGTGCTAATCCCGAAGGGGGAGGAGGTTCTGATTTCATAGGTCGATCCAGGCGTGGATTTCCACGATCGGAAAGTGATCTTTGACAGCTACAAGTTTACTTGCACCTGCCCCTTTTGTCAGACTCAGGGTGGGCAGGGGGAGGATGTAAGGGTGCGTAAGGGGAAGATCATGGCATCACTCAAGAATTTTGTGACGAAGGGTGTAACCCTGGAAAGTGTGGGAAGATATTGGACCATATTGCAGAGTTGGAAGCAATGTATGAAACATGCCCAAAGTTATGTGTGGAGTAAGATAATGGAATTTTGCACGAAATTTGTGCAAGTCTTGTCACCCTAAAAAAGTTTGAGGTTGTGGTAAACATCTTGAAAAAGGTGAGGTGTAGAAAAATATGTGCAGGACAGAAAATGCTGGACAAGGGGAACGCATGATAAGGCAAAATTTTAATTTCCAGTAGTAAGACAAAACATTTATCGAAATAACACACTTTTCCATATATTACAACTTTTTCTAGGATAAATGTTGTATCATTTTATGTTGAAAAGTGGGTTGTTTTACTTAAATTTTTGTCTTACTAAATGAAAATTATAAATTTTTTGTTTTAAAATGCATTGCCTTTTTTAGGCATTTTCTGTCCACCCTGTATAATATTTAAAATATTTAAATTCACACATTTTTTAAATTCGGAGAAAAAATTGAAAATTACGATAATTACAAAGCTTCATTGCTTAAGAGGGTGACGTGAATACCTCCTCTGAATTAAGTACATGTTCAGAGAATTGTACATAAATAACGTAAGTGTGGTAAACGTTGGTGAATTTTTTACAGTACTAAATAATAACCTTTACCATAATTACGTGAAATAATACATATTTAAATAAAATTAGCGAACAGTGTTATTGAAACTATATGAACTAAATTCTAGAATTTTAGTGGATTTGTTTTTATTTTTCGGAATAGTTTGCCATATTTCCGACAGTAATATTAATTCCCATAATTTTACATAATATGGTTATAAAAATCAATTATATTTCCAGATACATTTCGTCACTGCAAATTCAGCCATGTGCAGAAATTCGGTTATGGTGTCCATAACTATTTTGGAGGTTGTCTTGAAGAGCCAGGCGAAGAATAAGGGGTTGATCAAAGAGTGGATTAAAATCGTGAAGAATGATTTAATCGTGGCGTTCGGGGGTCTGGAGCCGATGCGAATTATGGGATCTAGTGCATTGCACATGTTGGATTTAATGGAGATTGATTTTTTTGGTGAACGAAAATAAATATGCAAGTGGAATGGGAGATGTGTAAATAATTAAGAACAATTATTTAATGATGTGACATTTCATGTAAATTTAATACATTTTATAATAATTTAGTTTTTTCCATTATTAAGAATTATGTTTGACGTTGAGTTATATAAATAAAATAATTTTTTTGATAAATACATTACATGGAACGATTATTGCATGAAGAAAGAATATGCTTTGAATAATTTAGTAAAAAATTAACTCCAATCCCAAAAATTCAAAAAACAAAATTTATAATTTGGAAAGTATGTACATATTTATATATTTCTATGTAAGGCGTAATTTCAATTCTCCACCAATGTGTCCCGACTAATATCAAATAATCCGGTGATAATTCAACACCGCTCAGGATACATAAATATGAATACATACCACTACAACGCCGTTGGTGTCAATAATTTTCACGATCATTGTAACCATTTAGTGATAAAGATCGTCAGTAATGGTTACAAATTTAAATCACGAGGTGACAAACTGGTAATTTTTTAAAATTATTGGTACGCGTAAATTATACAATTCAGTATTGTTTATTCACCAAAGTTAGCTTTCACGTAACAAAATTATATAACATTACATTGTATTCTGTATTCTACGTGTGTATTTAAATAGCTGTAAATTATGTAGGAAATCCCGTCACATACTTCATACATACACAGGACGACCTACATAAATAATATTTCAAATGTAAATTGTCAAATTTTCAATGTTTCGGGTAATTTCTTATTTCATCACCTAATATTTCTCTCATACTTAATTATGCCAATATGAACGCTGACATTGCACAATTATGTCAACTTTTTATTTCTGCCCACATTTTCCACAACCTCCTTATTAGTGAAGAAAGTACGTTTCGATCCTCTTACAAATGTAGCAGGATTGTGTTTACTAAATACGTAATAAGTTTTTACCAATATTCGACCCGACATAATTATACGACTTAATTATTTCCGTATGAATATATTGACTTATGTCTTAATTACGTCTAGACTTTGCATAATGTTTTCCATAACACCATTTGGAGTGAACCAAGTGCAAATTAAAATTAACTTTTTGAAGCCTTCGTGTTACATATTCTCAATACTACAACCAATATTTTACACGGAGTTTGTAAAATACACGTATTTCGTAAATACATACATAAATGTCAACATTATCTTAGATACATAACTTATTTACGTCAACCACAAAATGTCAAAGGGAGAATGTTACAATTGTTAAAACTAGGTCAAATTGTGGACGAAACACATAACCATATTGTCGACACCTATGTATGAACAATTCCGTGGTTGTTTGTTTTATAAATACTTTATATCTGTATGGTAAATACGGCTTGCATAAATAATCGGTGTCAAAGTGTCCAAGCTGTTGTTAGATTTATGCAAAATTACGAGAATATAAACCCCTTAAAAAATAAGAATCAAAACATATGCAATTACACTGTTATGAAAATACGTATGAAATTATGAATCACAATTTGTGATTAATTGGGAATCTTATCAAGCTATCTAGTTATTAAAAAATGTTGACTTTTATATAAATCATGAAACACATATTGTATAATAATACAATTACTCATGTGTTTACCTATTTGGTAGACTGGTAAATATTTAATTTCTCGTTAAGCAATTTTATACACATCACTAAACTTGTATTTACTTAAGGGGCCATGTACATACTCGTTATGATGACAAGATATGATAAGCCGACACGAGGAAATATAAATTACATGTATATAAATGTTTGCACGACCTGGAAAACTAATCATAAATACTCCTTGACACACACCTAGAACGTCTCTCACTTTGCCCCAAGATGCCCACTATTTTCGATTACTTGCCCATAATCCGGGCCCAGCTGTTCATTAAATCCCTCTTCGTCTGCAACTTTGTCACCTGGTCGAGGACAAAGGAGCGCTTTGTACCAATATTTTGGAACAATGTGAAACACACCTTACCCCTGGTCATCAACAGCATCAAGTCTACCTTATCTGACATCGCTAACGGCGAATCTGGCCGATTTGGGCTATGTCTCGGACTCTTTACTCAGATAACGCCTACAATCTTGCAGACTTTACTAGTTGTCACGTGGCCCTGCGCAATGCCGCATTTTCTAAGGTCAACGTTTCCAGATTGTGCGGCCAAGGGGTCTGAATTCCTGTGGGATTTTGGCATGTCAGAAGATCATAAATGGGCTGTTACTATCCTGGACATATTTGCAGCAGCGTATGGCACAAATTTAGCTTGTGTAGCGGCATCGTTCGTATTCCACTGTGGGGTCACGTGTGTGGCGGACCATTTGAAAAGGTGTTTACTAAACATATTTACATGTTGATTAAACATGTTGATAGATTTGTTAGACATAGTGTAAAATTACGTAATTTTCTTCTAGGACCAGATATTCGTTGAACTTTCAGTCTATCATGGCTTACAAACAGGCTCAAATTCTAACCACAGCGGTCAATAATATCAACCAAGTGGGCATCCTTCCCATCCTAATTACTGACCTGACCTGGGTCGGCATCACGTGTTTCTACGCGGTGGCCGCGCATAATTCAAAATTATCGGTACCCGCCCTCATGATCGCGGTTGTGCTCGCAGTAGATTGCACTTTTGCGACGTCCTTCGTCATCTATAAGGCAGGTGCCGACCTCTATCAGCTGTCCAGGGATGTGATGCAAGGTTGGCGGGGGAGGGAGGCGATGTTGAGGAATCGCTACCTGAGAAGGATGAAGGCTTCGTGCAACGTGCTAAAAATTCGGATAGGAAATTCTGGAAATTTCGTGGAAAAGACGACACCACTAATCATTTTTCAATTTAGTATGGAACAAGTGGCGAGTTTGTTGCTTATTTCGGTCAAGAATACCTAGGCGTAAGATGTATTCATAATTCTAAAATATCTATATTTTCTTGAATGTAATTGCTTAATATATTGCACACATAGTAATAATTATACAAATTGGTAAAATTGGTCTGAGAAATAAAAAAATTGCTTTGTCATTTAGTATCCTAATAGTGAAATAAGGGAGAATATATCATAGTTTAGTTTGTATAATATTTAGTGTGTTATATTTAAATTTAAAATCACATTAGAATAGTATTCATTGCACAAAAATAAGATTAATTCAAATTATGGTTGTACCGCTTCCCACTCCCTGAAAATTTTGGGAGTTTTGAAACTCCAGAAACTTCGGGAGTTTATATTTATTCCATCACAAGTCCAATGTTAAAAATAAACATATATATATACATGTATATACCCTGGGAATATTCCCAAAATTCCAGGAATCTATTATTGTTCCCAGGGAGTTATACAAACCTAATTCAAATACAAAATTATATGAACTTGTCCCACTTTTTACCTTTAATGATGCTCATTCATTTATTCGATCATTCATTCAGACAAAGAAAGAATTCCTAAGTATTTTGCAAGATTTAATCCTATCCTGTTACCTATATTGGCAAATTATGTAATAGAATCTAGAATATGATAAATATAGAAAATGACGAATGGTGTGTAAATAATTCAATATTTTTTTCTCATCCCTAGTAATTTTTCCTTTAAGACGTAGACATTACTCCCCCTTGCGAAAACACATGAATGAATGAAGACAATTCGCGTCGTTATTTCCACATCCAACTTTGTCTCAATGTCAACCATGAAATGCGGAATTGTAGGCGAGGAATAGATAATTTTCTAAGATAGTGGTGTTCGTCGTATAGAGAAAAGGCAAATTTCGCAATGCATATGAATTATTATTTCTAGGCATGTATTTCTGCGGACTAATTAAACATTCTCATAAGTTATGAGTCATAACGTGTCATGTGAAAGCCTTATTTTCGTCTAGACCTTGTATAATGTGTTACGTCGAGGTTGAAATACATACGGAGTGGTAAATATTAGAATTATTTATTGTATTAGTAAAACAAAGAGAAAAGTAAACAGAACTCTGACACCAATTAAATCAACACGAACAAGTTTTGTTTGTTTAGCAAATATTTTAATTATATTGTTACAACCAACGTTTAATATTTAGATAACTGTAAGAAAGTTCAAAATCTAATATTAAAAAAATTATAAGAATCATTAAAGATCAAACAATTCAAATTAATTGGAAATATCAAGTTATAAACATGTAATTATCTAACGGCAATTAAAAGATGGCTTGTTACGAGTTAGATACTTATTGACAAATCTGTATATCAGGAATTGCACAACCTCCTCATGTTCTTACTAAATTGACGTATTAATACATGTTTAATTCCACAGTTACATAACTTCTGAGATATCATTTATCTCAATTTGCGCAAGTAGCCATTCCCTCCTTATGCATGTGAGGAAATAAAGGTGACGTAGAGTGTGAATTATGCATGTTTTCTTTACCTACATAAACCCCACCACCTCCATCTTCAACGCTTCTCAGTTACAAAACAACCCTTTTACGAAAACATACGCAATTCTGTCTCTAGTTTAGCCCCAAAATGCCCAATATTTCGGACTATTTGCCCCTAATTCGGGCCCAGTTCTTTATAAAGAACCTCTTCCTCTGCAACTTTATCACCTGGTCGAGAAAAGAGGGCCGATTTGTCCCCATATTTTGGAACAATGTCAAATACACGTTACCCCTGGGAATCATTACTGTCCAAGTTGCCACCGTTCTGGCCCGGATGAGATCGCTGATCTCGAACGGTCCCAAGAACACTTTTCTCACCCACATCATCTCGTGCTGTCTTTCCCTTAGCAACGTTGGCCATTGGTTAATGGGTGTCGCCTGTAAGAAAAAATCTGCCGAGATAACGGCATACTTTAACGGAATTCTTGTCACCCATGGAAAAATTAATTCCGGACGAGGGACTAAACTCTGTCTGAGGGATGTCATCGATACCGCGAAACGTACCCTGGGTGACGTCGCGCACGGAGAATCAGGCCGATTTGCCCTTTGTATCGGACTTTTCACCCAGATTACGCCGACCATCTTGTTATATCTTTTAGTTGTGGTGTGGCCCTGTGCAATGCCGCATTTACTGAGATCATCTTTTCCAGATTGTGTCGTAAATGGGAACGCATTCGTCTGGGATTTTGGCGTTTCGGAAGATTTCAAATGGGCCGTGACCTTTATTGACATGTTTTCGGCAGGATATGGCATGTGTGTGGCGTGTGTGGCGGTATCTTTCGTATTTCAGTGTGGAGTTACGTGCATAGCGGATCATTTAAAGAGGCATGGGCTAATTTTAATTGGGCGGTAAATTTAAATGGACTAAATTTGAATTTTCTTTTAGGACACGACACTCGTTAAATCTTGGTTCTATCATGGCCTACAAACAGGCCCAAATTTTGACCACAGCGGTCAACAATATCAATCAAGGGGACAATCTTCCCATAATGATAACTGATCTGACCTGGGTGGGCATCACGTGTTTATACGCGGTCGCAGCACATCATTCAAAATTATCGGTGCCCGCCCTCCTAATTGCGGTTGTGCTTGGGTTAGACTGCACTTTTGCGACGTCCTTCGTCATTTATAAGGCGGGTGCGGACCTCTATCAGTTATCCAAGGATGTGATGCAAGGTTGGCGGGGGAGGGAGTCGATGTTGCGAAATCGATACCTGAGACGCATGAAGGCTTCGTGCAACGTGCTAAAAATTCGGATGGGCAATTCTGGAAATTTTGTGGAAAAGACGACACCACTTATTATTTTTCAGTTTAGTATGGAACAGGTGGCAAGTTTGCTGCTGATTTCGGTTAGAAATACCTAGTCATTAGAAATACAATTATGGTATCATTTTCAAAGTGTGAATAATATTGAAGGGTTAGTTGAGGTGAACGATTATCTTTGAGAATTGTACATGCTCGATTTTTTTGCAAAATAATCTTGAAAATATGTATGTGATTATTTTAAATCATTATAATTTATTCTGGAGGCATCCTCGCATTGCAAATGGAGATAACTTGACCACTGCAATTATTCGAAAAAAGGTGTCAAACAAAGTTAAAATAAATTGAAGACAAAAACGCTGTTTAAGTTTGCTCAATTTGTTAATTTTCACAAATTAAAGGTGTATACTACAAATAAATATATATGAGCTTCGTTTAGTATAAAGAAGCTATTACGGGTGTTACTGTTTAGATTTGTAAATTTATTAAGCGCAGCAATTTTGAGGAAAGCTGATTACATCGATATCTCGACGAAAATTTCATACATTCTACATGAAAAAAATGAACGATGAAAAAGAAAATTAGTACGTGGTGTATGAAATTTGTACGCACAATCACTTAGGATTGGACATCGACACAAGAAATTTTGTAATTACGTTGTTTTTAATTAAATACTAGGAATAATTGAACCAGAAAGCTTTTGAAAATTAAAGGCGCATACATATTTATCTTAATTTTGAATTATTTTCAGTTTCGATGTTTACAATTTAAATGAGCTAGAAATCCAACTTTCTCATTAAAGCATCATGTTTAAATCTTAACACACCTATCTAGCTTACGTATTTTGTTACAGATGTTGAATTAAACCATTACGTATATCAACAAATTCAATATATTCATTTACATGCGTAAATCACAAAAACACCGAACGACACCAAAAACACCAAACTATACAAATGACTTACAGCTCAATAAGAAATCTAACTAACTACGGTCTTTCTCAATAACTCAACTATGCACAATTTTACCGACCTTTGACTATATCTTAGTTTCATTAGCTTTAATCTGTACCACAGGATAAATATTCTTCGCTTCAATTTATTCCATCTTGCCACCATTACAACCCACATTTCTTCACGACGACACCAAATCACTTCATACCAACCGAACACTATCGCAATTACCGAAACACCCACATAGATAAGGAAGATGGTCTGAATACTGCCAAATATTGACATTGGTTTCGCCCTCTTTAAAAACAAATGCGTCCTCCACTTCGTAAATGTGTGGTATCTCTGAGAATAATACTTCGTAACGTTAATGTACTCATCTCTCCCGTAAATTCCGGATTGTACCGCCATCCCTACCAATTTATGTATGTATGTATGCAACTATGTATCTCTGTCTGGGTACTAGATGGATGTTTGCCAAATTTATCCATAGCGACGATATTTGTAATTATCATTATGCAATTATAAGGCCATCCATGAAGTATGAGACTAAAGTACACAAATACGTTCAAGTTTATTATCTTTATGATTCTTCATTCGTCAATTCCATATCGGATTACACTAAACCCCTTTAGATAGGTATTTTGAATAATTATTTCAGTAATTACACGTAATATTTAAACAGCATTAATATTTATTCCTATTTATTAAACTCTAGAAATTACACCAAAGACGTGGGGAAACACAACCACTATAATTTATGGTTGGAGCATTATTCCGGGACAAATATTTTCTGACAGGTTTGGTGGCGGATACGTGTAATTACTATCCGTGCACCACTAAACCTCTGAGAATAATAAAATAAGAATTTCCTTTCGTAATAACGCTCCGACCATAATGAGACTTATGTAAGGGAGCATTCATAGATTAATTTAATTCAGTCCAGGCACACAAGCCGAAGCTCTTTGTACGTGAATCTCATAATTTGCAGGGGCCAATCACTATCAATGGACCAGAAGGATTGCACAACTAGTTTTTTGTAGCTAAACAAAATAATTTGTGTGTGCAATTCTATGTACATAAATATTAATTTAAGTAGTGCAACTATTCCATGCTAAAATTCTTATAATCTAATCGAAATGAATTCATAGTTATGTGCATACTTCAATTTAAAATACTTGACAGATACTTTCATTGATTTTAAATTAAATCCAATTAATTTATTTAATTTAGCAAATTGAGAGATTGAATACATAATTTTTTGAAAATGTACTTATAATTTGTAATGAAAATTGTGAAAAAAATTTATCTAACGACATAACAAAATATTAATTGTTTATCGTCATCCCCCTTCAAATTATGTATGTATAGTCGTCAATCAGATGATAACCATGTCATCAACCCCTTCCCCCTGTCGGGCTTCCTCCATCCGGCGCCTCTTTTCCCTCAAACTCCTCAACTTCTTCAACAATACGAGTCGTTGTAACTGTTCATCCGTCATATCTATAGTTTCCGCCGATTCGTGGCGCAAAAGATGCTCTGCGCCGCGACGTGCGCGCGCCTCTTCTGCCGGTGTTAACGGTTTCGTACCAATGACCTCGGTGGTGACCGTGATGTCGCCAGTGCATTGTTCGAAACGATGACCTCCTCTTCCATCAGTACCATTACGGGTAGTTGTTGCCCCTCTGGGGGAAGGATTTGGGGGTGGGGCCGCGCCAGATTGAGGTTGAGGTTGACCTTGAGATGGTTGCCCTCCTCCACCGATGCCTGCGGCCTGGAGCGAGTCCCGGCTAGATATACAGGGATGGATTAATTTAATTTTTAATTAATTAATAAATAATGTCCTAAGTAAAATAAATAAATTTCCTTACACTAATTGTCCAATGCTGGCACCGAAGTTTGGTGGAAGTGGATTTGTAGCCATTGTTGAGTTTTGCACTGTCTTGGATGAATCCTTGGGGAAGAATGGAGGAGTGAGAAGGTAGAGAAATGTGAAGGGTGTTGTGCTTGGCTTTTTTATTTTTGGATTAGAAATCGTCCTTTTCCAAGAAAGGGTGGAAAAGTGGTGGAATTTAGGAATGGTTAGATTCCATGCTTGTTTTCTAGTTAAGCTATGCCCATTTTTCTGTAGGTTTGTCGGAACAAGGTACACATACATACCTTCCATACCTTTTTTCAGCATTGAAAGATAATCTTTGTAGGACAAATCGATGCACACTGTACACAAGTTAAAATAAATGAATAATAAGGAAATAAATTTACATATTCTTAAAATAGCTCAAATTAAATGTCTTATCAAAGTGGTTATCATGAACTTAAGATGACTAATTCATGCAAGGAGTAGAATTATCTAAGATACATAATGCGAATGCATATTTGCTATGATTTTTATCCGAGCTGGTAAATTATTTAGTAGTTCGATTGCAAATTAACAAAATTAGCTTAATTTTCTACACATTACTCATTCAATGTCCATATTTTGGTTAAAAAAATCTATCTCCATTACCCAATCACATCCGAAAACCACGATTATTAAATCATTTCTCACAATTTTAATCCACTTCCTGATCAACTCCTTACTCTTCGCGTGGCTCGTCAACAAAGCCATCAAAATGTAGATTGAAGCATTAAGCCGACTCCATAGTCACGTATTTTCATGTCATGTTCCCTATCCTCCAATGCTAAATTTAGTATTACAGGATAGGAAGCATGACATGAAAATATGTAACTATGGACTAGGCATTATGAATTATGTGCAAAATATTTAATATATTTCCTTTAATTAGAACCTTGAGATGTTACGTCAGATTTCATCGAATTAATAAATTAGATCAACCTCATACAATATGCACATGGCTGATTTTGGAGGGACAGAATGCATCCGGAAATATAATTAATATCCAATGAGTAGTAACATCACTGTCACGAATGGTAAACTAAGTAAGTAATTAACTGCATAAATTCTGAAAAAAAAAAATCCAACAAAAATTTATTCTACGCTTACAAATTCTATTTCTCATAAAATCTAGCAAAACTACCATAAATTAAAGGAAAGTATATTAAGTAGCTAACTAAAAATTGTATTTCTCCCGTTATTACGAAGTTTATACAAAATATTTATCACCCATTTTTAATTAATTAATCAACCTTTCACTTTCATCAAACATTTAGAAGCGCAAAATTACAATTTTCCTTCTAAATGAATAAATTAATCGATCATACAGATTAATTCCAATCTATGTATATAGCTTGAATTATATTTTGGTCATATTTATTTTATCCTACATATTCTTACTCTTAAAAAAATTATGATCACTGGGAATTCAAATATTTTAAGTTTACTAAATTACTAATCACACGACGTATGTAGGTTGAATTTCTTTAGCAAATTCTGTTTTCCATTTTCAATAAACAAGCACAGTTTAGGTCATAATTAAGACAATATTCAAGATAACTATTGCAATCTTGGTATCAATCTTTGTATACGTGACAGTGCAAGGAATTAAGGACAATATATCATTATTTTACCGCTTCACCTCGTTGCTTGCTTTGCCATGTTATTAAGCTACATACTGAATAGATCATGATTATTTAGCGTCGTAGTTGCCAACGCATCTACCTTGTGTAAATTCTAGTAATCACGTAGTTATCGATATTTACGTAAAAACTCATTAGAGCGATCAGATTTTGGTCTTATTCAAATAATGATTTAAATAGCAAAACAGTATACCCTAAAAACCTTATTCCACTTATTTAAATCAATTTTACTTAAGGTCAACCCTTTGTACCAATACCGTGACTTATACTATCTTCAAGCGTGGACTTAATATCCTTCCACGAGACAGATTGATTAACTGATATCTTAATACATACGCCTCACCATTTTAGAAAATAACGGCGTAATTTCTCTTTTAGCACTTGAAACCCAATCCACCTTGGGTTTCAGGAGGAGGTGAACATTCTCTAGATAGTCCACCATCGATCATGTATTCCACCAACTTTCTTCCCCTGTTGATCCGTCGATTAAAATTCGCTCGGAAAATAGGATCCCTACCCTTCGAATATGACTCCAGATCTGAGAAACTCGTCTTGATCAAGTCATCCAAACGAATAAAGGCGTACCAGTTACAATCAATCATGACACTGGGTTACTCTCTGGTCCTCACGTGTCACTTATTCTTTGGAAAACTTCCAATGCTGAAAAAACTGCAGGGGTTCCCATTCCTGGCTTGTAAATTGTTTCGGAGTCCTGGTCCCCTGTGGATGGAATGTTGGGTTGGATATTGCTCCGATACAAATAATCAACTCGATCATCAACTTTGAAAAGGGTCTGATGAAAGGTATCTTAATTTTCCAAATGTACACTGTTTCTCAAAAAAACGAGTACATCACTACTATTTGCGCGACTAATTGCAAAGGCACCGTTCAGAAATACCTTAAACCGACAGGCTGGAGTAAGAAGGTCTGTACAGGCCTTCGTATTTCTACAGTATTTCCGAACGATGCCTTTGGAATTAGAGCATATGGACAAAACATTGAGACACTTTGGTTTGGACCTGTAAATGGTCAAAAAATTGGTTTAAGAATTTGATTTTTTTATAGAATGTAGTACTAGTTTCCACCTTTAGATTTTACTAAACAAACTAGATTTTCATCCATTGATCTTCTCGCATTTAATCTTTTTCTTAACATTTTCCATAAGTGACTTTTCCGAAGACTTCGCAACTTCATTGCTCATTTTCGTCCATCGGTTTCGAAATATTCTTGAAGTTACAGGTGTTTCATGAACCTCAGAATATGCCTTCTTACATAAAGCCCAAAAAGTTTAGATTGGGCGAAAATAGGGGACTCTTGAAGGATTTTCATCTTTGAGTACCAAACTGAGATTTTTCTTAAATTCATCTGCCATCTTGTTGTCGTAGTAGATATTCGCAAGGTCAGACCAGAAAATTACATTTTCGATTTTATGATGCTATACGATGAACGGAATCAGGTGGTCAATAACACATTTCTGTAAATATGTTTGGGAGTCCATACAACCTTCATGAACATAAGGCTCCGAAACACTGCCAAATTGGTCCAGCGCTATCACCATATGTAATTCACAGATAATGACAAAAAATTACAGTACACATTAAATTCACAAGTTACGACAATTAAAAAATCACATAAAATAACCGAACTCTAACTATCCCTGATCTACACCTCTATCGATAACAAAGCACTAATCGTATAACAAACCATCGCTTCCAGAAATGTGTATTGTGTCGATTTCTTGCAAACAAAAAAATTATGTGCAAGAAACCCTACATCAATTCCTATTTCTTTCGTCGCTCTAATTTTCCTCGCCACATACCCCTTATCTGTCGATATCGCCAACAAATACTTCCACTTATTCCGAAGTTCCCTCGTATCCTCATACACGGCAATCGACATCGGGATCATAACCATGGCAAGCGTTGGTATAATAATGGCAAATGTCGGAAAAAATAGAAAAATCGGCATCGGGACGATATCATACATTTTCAACGATATAAAGTTAAACATTACCGTTGTACTAAACCCCATAAACATCATGACGGCTATCGTCGGAGCGAAGAAGGTAGCCAAAGTAACCACAATTATGACACACGTGTAAAATTCGCAGATATACTTGTCAATCGTGACACATCCAAGAAGAGCGATGTGATACGATTTCTTTACCAAGAATGCGATACAACTCGCCAAAATTTTGTAGTATATCGTAATGATACAAATTATGATGGAAAATACGCGCGCGATTTGACAAATTGGAGAAAATATCAAGATTTTTAATAGAATTAGGACATATTTCAAGATATGTGGAGTGTCATGAGACAATAGCACGGTTTCGAACTGAGTGTACAGATCCAGGCCGATGAAAACGCCGAAGATGTAAACTACCCAGGGACATATTGCGTAAGATGTGACGGATGTATTTAGAATGATTCCGATCAAATCAATGTTAGCGGTTTGTTCGATCCGAGAGTTTCGAGACCCTAAAGATGGTTAATTTTTAATTAATTGTATTAGATTTAACATGCTTTAATTCGCAAGTGAAATATTTTTTTAATTGAGCAATTTACTTGCACCTTCTTTCCAATCTTGCCACACCGTTGAAGAAATGTGTCACAGTATCGGCAGAAAGGAGAACAAGTATCTCAAATATAAACGTTGCCGTACCAAATGTGAAAAATACTGTGGAAATTACCAATTCCAAAAATGGTACCGTTGCACACCCAACTATTTGAGCTAGCAGGATTAACATTGAGACTCCGGTGGCAATAGACAGTAGTGACATGGACAAAACCCATATGATCTTTGAAGGTTTGTTGTAAGTTGTTAATTGAAACTTAGAATTCCATTGAATCGGGTATGTTCCCGGGTAGAAGATGAATTTAGAATTTGCTAAAGATTTCCACATTAAGGGTGTAACCGTCATGGTAAGAAATGAAGGTTACATCTCTAAAAGAATTAAGTGTAAACGTTGGTTCACCGTTGAAATTCCCGCACACAAAGGCTCTCTTCACCCCGCACTTTTCAGCTACTGTGCTACGGGCTCACTTTGTATGCTCAACGGGCTTATAGGTCTCCACTCAGGTGAATGTGTAACACCCACAAACCACATCCCTAGCACTGTTAAATACTAGTAAGATGATCTCCATTGAATTCAGCTCTTGTCATTTTTAATTATGTACCTACTCAAGCTCTGCGAATTCATTACTTTACTAACGAGAATAAATCCCATAAGTTGATTAGGAGTTTATAAAAAAAATTTATACACCAAATTTTGAAAGGATTGCCGAATCAAATTAATATTCGAGCAATGCGGAGGTACTGAATTGCGCGTGTCTTGGGCATACCCTATTTCTTATTTAATTGGTTTTATTGCTTTTAACAAGCAAAATTGAAAAATCGGTTTACTTAAATACGTAAGCGACCTAAGTGGTTTCTTTTTATAGGTA